CTCTATCTTGAATTTTATTTTCAAATATATAAAAAATATTATTTCAGAATTAGTCTTTCCTTAAATAATTTTTTAAAGATATTTATAAAAAATACCACACATAATGCATTCTCAAGTTACATGAAATAAAAAACAAAGCATCAAACACATGAAAACACATTCTATTTCTTTTAAATAACTTGCCATTAAACTGACAATCACATATATGATCTTTCGTATCTAGAAATGTAAATGATCATAATGAAACAAAGGCCAAACATATCTCTCTCAATCTTTCTCTCATATTTGCATATGTATATAATTATAACCCAGAGATATCATGAGTAAACGAATACACACCTTCCTTTAGTATATGCCAAGGTAGACACACAAAAACAAGAAAAAAAATTTAAAACCAGAGTATAAAGGGACTCTGCTCTTTCAAACAATGCAGCACTGAAAGCCAGGTCAGCATCCTTGGGCATTACTAGGAAACTTTAGCACATCTGATATTTCCATCATCTTCAAGAATCCTCTGAATAATGAGAAAATTTCCCAGTCTCCCCCTACCTCAACTATCCAAAGACTTCCTTTAGCTTTCCTCCCTCTCCTGTGTACTAATGCTGTTGCGGTTATTTAGGCTTTAAATGTTCAGAGATACAAACCCCTTTATATATTAATTCAGTTCATTTTCTCAGACACTGACTCAGCCGTGGGTTGTGCAGCACTGACGTTTCTAACCAAACAGCATCGTGTGAGCTGCGATCATCCCATTTCTCCATCTCTGAGCAGTGATTGGATATTGTAATTGATAGACAGTTGGAAGAAAACGCAGGAGGGCTTAGAGATATGTAGATATGTTGCCAAATGCCATCTGTAAAGCTAATTCTAGCTCTGCCAGCTTGCCAGGTTTTAGAAAACTAGGATGCAGCTAACTCTTTTTTTTTCCTATCATTTTACTGTGTATCCATTCTGGGCAGTAAAGCTTCTCTTTAAAACCAAAGAGAAAATATTATTTGTACTTTAAGAATCCACTCAAGAACTATTCTTTAAAGCAACCAAACTTTTCCATTTCTGAACTGCTGCTGAGACTATGGAGTGACTTAAAAAGGAAACTGGAAAACTCAGACTTCATGCAGTCTCAGAAGAAATGAGCATGCGTATTTCTTCCTATGTTGGAATGATTTCTTGCCGTATAGTCTATATAGAATGTATGATGCATTTATCTTTAGTAACATGAGCAGATTGCAGATTTGATTTTTATATAGCTGTATTCTACCCAATTCAAATATTCAGTAGCTTTTATCATATTGTCTATTTTAACCGTATACAGGAAAAGTGTTCTTTCTTTTATTCTTTTTTAAATAGCAAAAACTCCTCCAATTTAAAGAGGTGTCACAAGTCAGGCCAAATACATTTCAACCGAAATGATCTTTAACATCTTCAGCATAGCTACCAACCCCCTCTACATAGTTATTAACTGTATAACTACTTACACAGAAACAAAGTTCAGTAATTTACACTACCTAATTCATTTGTATCCATCTGCAGAGAGATCATACACACCCTGAAAGTCCATCCATGTCCAGACTAGCTTCTCTGTTAGGTCTTGTCTTTTATATCACAGAGTGTTACACATACCAAATCTACATTTGAAAGAAAGTTAAGAAAAGTACCGTAAAGTTGTATTAGATAGAACAGAAACTATAAGGCAATGACCACCAAACACTCAAATGTCAATGGTAAGCAGAAATAAGATAGTAACTACTATTGTTACTTTTATAAGTAGAAAAATTTATTTTTATTCTAACCAGTAGGGAAAAAAATCAAAAGTAAAAGACTAAAAATATCAGTCTATTCCAAAATATAAATAGAACAAAACAAAACACAAATTTTTAAGTAAGATGACTTTTAGATTACCTACAAAAATTGAACCAATAAAGAAAAGTATATTATTTCTTTACTTCTTATAAATTTAAATCCCCAATTCTGTTTGAGGTGGCAATGTGCCCAGTTCAAAAACTATATTTCTCAGTGTCCCTGATACAGAGATGGCCATATAGCAGGGGTCTAGCCAATGATTTATAAGAAGATATCTGCTGGGAATTTCTGAGAAATTTAATTTCCTGATATAAATGAAGTCCTTTCTCATTCTCCGCTGCTCCCTTCCTCCTCCTTCTTGTCTAGAAGGTGGACTTGATGGCCAGAGCTACAATATCCACCTTGTGATCATGAGGGGAAAGTTTCTTATTCCAAGAAAATCAGAGATTTTTGACCCTAATATCCTTAAGACACTAAACACACATCGGCCCCTGCCTGCACTTCTATGTACAAGAAAAATAAACCCAACACTTAAGCCAGTATTTAACCTGTTTTTTTCACTCAAACATCCTTAAATAAAATACACAAGACTCAAAAAAGAGATGAGAGTAGGCAGAGGCACAGATGAAATATAATTAGCCATGAATTGGTAACTTGAAGCTGGTTGATGGGTAGCAGGGGTTCATTATACCTGCTGTATTTTGCATGTATCAAAGTAAGTTATTTAAAATTTGAAAAGGAATAAGAAACTTGTTTATAAATCCTAGCTCTGCCATTTACAAGTTGGATGACCTTGAGCAATTTTACTAATTTCATTTTTTCATCTACCAAATGGGAACATTAATACTATCTACAGAGCTCTACCTTCAGATCCAGTCAAGGTCAGCTCCTGAAGGTCCCTGCCAGAAATGTCCTCCATCTACTTAATACTCTAATCATCCAAGGATTACCTCAAGTCTCATTTTCACCTACTCAAGCTGATAATGATTCCTTCTCTGAGCTCTTATTTTTCAACTCAGTACCACAGTTTAAATGCCCTGTAGTCCTCTAGTTGTTCCATATGTGGATATTAAAGCATTTCATAACAATATCCTGACACACTTTTGCAAATCTCTCCTGAACTGAGGGTAGGTTCTCAATAATGCTTCCTGACTGTTAGATTTTAAAGCCTCTCAGCCAATTAATTTACTATCAATTCAAAAAATAACCATTTCGGGCCGGCCAGGTGGCACACTGCTACAGTGCGCCGCTTGGGAGTGCAGCGGCGCTCCCGCTGAGGGTTCGGATCCCACATACAGACCGGTTCCCGCTCACTGGCTGAGCGAGGTGCGGGCGCAGCACCGAGGGTTGCGATCCCGTTGCCGGTCCCGGTCCGGTACGGGCGCGACACTGAGGGTTGCGATCCATTGCCGGACACAAAAAAAGACAAAAAGGAAAAAAATAAATTAAATAAAATAACCATTTGTAAGAAGTCAAGCCATACTTTAAGTGTCCTAAGTTATGCATTCCTAAGCACATAAGAACAAGAAATATCTAAAAGTTCTTCCTTCCACAGGTTTTCTATGAATGAGGCTAAAATAAACTCAAAGGATTTCTTGGTCTTTCCACTAAAACAAAACAAAACAAAAAAAAACAACCAAAAAACCCCCACTTATTAGTATTTATTTTCTATTTCACTTTAATATTTTTCATTCAAATAACCCTAAATACTGCTACAGTCTACCTGAAAACAGCACCAAAAAGTTCTTGATGCTACAGCTATCAAGAAGAGCTATGGCATTCATTACTGAAATGAAACAACAGCAATGAGAAAAGTACTATTAGTTTTTATAAAATTTTCCCCCTGTATGTGTATAGCTTTTATAAAGCAAATGATGACTTATTTTCACCTTTGTCACCTCTTCATTATGTAATGCAGTATTGTACATCAGCAGAAAAATATCAAGAACTAGGAAGGATAATATATAATTTACCTGAAAAATATATATATACAACAGTGTAGATATAATATAGCTCCACACTTAATGTGATAAAACCAATACCTTTTTAATCTCAAAGACGAGATAATTATCCATTAAGTAGAGAAAAAGAACTAGAGCCCCAGTTGAAGGACACTGACATACATAGATACTTACACACATACACGCACACGCAAAATGAACAAAACAAAACAAAAAACATTCATACCATTTGGTATGTCCTTAAAAATTAGTAAATTCAATTTAACGTTTAACATTTTAGATCACATCACATTAAAAGTTCATGATAAAGGAGAACATCTTGTGAGGAGACTTAAAAAGTACCAGTTACTCCTATTTTCTGGCTATAGCATATGCACATAGTTTTAAAGTACCTGAACTATTTCTTTAAAATTACAAAAAGAATTTCATATTATGGTACTTAAGGAAGCTGGTATTCATTATCAGTGATCATGAGAATTTTACATTCAAGTAAGTTAAATATTCAATAACATCCCCTAAGTAACATTCATAAAGCAAAATCCTCTATGAAAACATGCTTTACATACCTGTAATATGTGAAGTTTATGAGCTGTCAATGAATACCTTAAATTATCAGACCACAAAGTATTTTAAGTGAGGTATTCCTCATTAAGTCTCACAGCACAAAATGAAAATTTTAAAAACAATATATAGATGAGCTGAAACTTATTAAATGAATTTCATTTCATGCATCAAACTTTAAATGAACCAGTAGAGTCATTTCAGAAAGATTAATTTTCTATTAGCATCAAGATGACAACACAATATACATTCACATAGTTAAAAATGTATGAAGGTATACATTGACATAAACCTATAAATTATCCTGTGTAATCTAAACACACATGTATTTAGAGCACGAAATAAATTCCTATTAGAGAGTTTTAAATACAAAGAGCTAAACTGTCTTGCCAGAATTCCCAAATAAGTCAATTATAGCATGTACTCATGGAGTCAACTAAGGAGATTTTAACGTTATTTAGAGACAGCAATAAATATCCAACTACATACCAATATAAAAAAATTAAAAGGGAAGAAATGTTTCTCTTAAAGTTATTTAAGGAGAAATACAAACATTCATAATATTTTGTAAACCCGTCCCCATCCTCTGTTAGGACTCGCCATAATCAAATGCAGTAGTAGTCTTTATAATTAGTTTTAGCAGAGCTTTGATATGTGAAATACATATTTTCTACCTACCTTGAATGTTTATAAAGTTTACGAGGTCTACTATGCAATTTCCGATCCCAGTTCTCTGGATCACTGGAGTTACTGTCATAGGGATGAGGCCGTCCTGCCATCCCACTTCAAGCTTCCTCACACTACTGCTCTGAAAGCACACATGTAGAACCCATAACCTACATAAAAGAGTAGTGTTGACCTTTAAATCTATTCCATGTAGAATAAAATAGTCATAAAATTTTATTTACTTGACATTTATTGTGACTTTTTAAAAGTGATAAATAGATTATAAAATATTAAACACACAAAATGCCACAAATCAGATTAAAATAAATACCAGAAGTCTTTTTAGGTACTTTCACTTGATTTGTCTATTAAATTTGCTACTCCTATGAAAGAGATAATGTACTATTTATATTTAATAAATATACTTCAACAACTGCCATCTAGGTAACTCATGTTTCCAAACATCAATATAGTACCAAAAAAGCAGAAACCACAGAATGATTCTTTTAGACAAAACTGCACTTAGAACACATTTCTTAATTAGTAAAAAACTTTAAGATGTTTAACAAAGCATCTAGTAAGAACAAATAATGTTATTTCTTTAATCAAGTTAAAAATCCTCAACAGAAATTAATTTTTGCTCAAAAATAAATTATGACAACATCCTGATGTTTCCTTACAGTGCAATTACCACAAAAATGTTTTATCAGGGCCGGCCCGGTGGCGCACTGGATAGTGCGCCGCTTGGGAAGCACGGCAGCGCTCCCGCCCGAGGGTTCGGATCCCACATACAGACCGGTTCCCGCTCACTGGCTGAGCGAGGCGTGGGAGCAACACCGAGGGTTGCAATCCCATTGCCGGTCCCCGGTCCGGTACGGGGGCAACACTGAGGGTTGCGATCCGTTGCCAGACACGGAAAAAAGACAAAAAAAAAAAAAAAATGTTTTATCAGTACTATTCATATACTTTGTAAGCCTTTGACTGTTATTTCTACTATAGTCATAAGGAATGATAAGAAAACTCACTTAACAACAGCTTTACAGAATATCTGAACTAAACACTTTTATTAAAGTACATTCACCATCCAATTTAATCTTCACAATCACCTTGTAAGGTAAGCATTATAATCCCCACATACAGAATAGAAAACAGCGTCACAATTTTAGTAACTTTCCCAAAGGTCACAATGCTAATACACGGCAGGATTATAAAGAGCAATGAGAATTTACTATAGGGAATAAAGTCTTGATCTTGAAAAATGCTCAGACTGGAGTATTTGTTTGGAAATAAATCAGATTTGACTTTTAGAGATTGCAAACACCAAAGAGAACCCAAAGGAGGTTAACAATTTGAACAAAGTTATAAAAACTGAACTAGAACCCAGGTTTCCTGACACTCGCTCTGTATACAGTATGTTTTCCTAATCAATCCTATTTAAATCAGTGAACATGTTTTCATATCAAGCCACAAAAAAGTAAAGAATGTTCAAATGAAAGCTATCAAAAAGTCAACTGAAAAATCATATTCACATTTCATTTGTCAATAAAACCCTGTATCACCACATGAAAGATTTCTCCCTACCCCTCACACTCCCAAAAGTCATAGTATACTAAAAACAATTGAAATTCAAGTGGAGATACTTGGGGAAAATATTCCTCTTAGCCTACACATGCTAGTATATTTTTAAATTTTATCAATAAGCTATGGACATAACTGTAAATGGTTAAAAAGCAACTGACACACATTATTTACTGTTCTGTAATGTCTAATGATCTCTTCAGTTTTAACCATCATTGTGCCATACTCGGTGACATCGCATTTGTCTGATTTCTTTTGTTCATTCATTCATTCAAGCACTTACTGAGCACCTACTGCAATACGCCAAGCAATTTACAAGTTGTTAAAGCAAGTCATTGTTCCTGTGCTCAAATACTTCATCCTAGTAAAGGAAAAAAAAAAAAAAAGACTCCTCTCATGGTTCCATGTCCACTTCCTCCTGCATCTCTATGCAACCTGTAGCACCCCTACTCAGGTTCTTGCATAATTACCCCACACTTCATCTCCATTAAATCTTGGTGTTCTGGGGCCGGCCCGGTGGCGCACTGCTACAGTGCGCCGCTTGGGAGCGCGGCGGCGCTCCCGCCGAGGGTTCGGATCCCACATACAGACCAGCCGCTCACTGGCTGAGCGAGGTGCAGGCGCAACACCGAGGGTTGTGATCCCGTTGCCAGACACGAAAAAAAAGACAAAAAGGAAAAAAAAAAAAAAATCTTGGTGTTCTTTAGGATTCCATCTCCCAGGTCCCGGGAAACAGCACACAAAAATGAAATGAGGATCAAATCTTTAAGAACATCAGAATTTATACAGTACATAAAATCTGTTTTCATTATTGTTATCTGAATTCTTCAATAGGCACCCCAAATTCAACAAAGCCAGTCTCATCACCTTGGCCTCCCAGATCATCGAGGGTCACCTCTATTTACATCTCTCAATTCCCATATCAAATCTACTTCAAAATTTTCTTGGCTCTTTCTTTCCCTTTTCATTCATAAGGCTGCTGCCTTCATTTAAACCTTTATCATCTATCAATAAGCTTTTTTTTTGTCCTTTTTGAGACCGGCTGCACCGCGCTCAGCCAGTGAGCGCTGTGAGCGCACCGGTCATCCCTATATAGGATCCGAACCCGCCACAGGAGCGCTGCTGCGCTCCCAGTGCCGCACTCTCCCAAGTGCGCCACGGGCTCGGCCCTATCAATAAGCTTTTGACACAAGATCCAGGGTTCAATCCCTTGTACTGGCCAGTGGGGGGTGGGGGAGGGAAGCCTTTTGGCTGATTTCCTTACCACCATTCAATTCCATACTGGCTCTCCTATAATCAGAACTATCTTCCTAAAAACTTAAAAATTTCTTACCATAAAAAGTTCCTTCAAAATCTGGTACTCGAATCCCCCAAGTCTATTTCATATTAGGCAACTAAAGTTTATTATTGTTTGGATTTTGTAATCATCAAAAAATAATTCCAAAAGAAAGGGGAAAAAAAAGAGAAGAAACAATCACATTAATACATTGAACTTTCAGAAGCAGAGAACAGAACTGATGGTTACCAGAGATAGGAAAGGAGTAGAGGAGCTGAGGAGAAATCGGTTAATGGATACAAGAATGATTACATTTTGTAATGATGATTATGCTAATGATCCTCATTTGATCATCACGAATTGTACACAGATACCAATAGTCAACTCTATACCCCACAAATCCATGTATAATCAACAATTCTTTCGATTAAAAAAAAATTACTGGACTAGTGGAAACAAAGTTCCTAGAGAATATCTCATTTTTCATCGCTATTTTTAGGCATGATAGAAATAATTTAAATTCGAGATAATCTAGAAATCATCTGTACAGCGACTGGGACCAGTGAGTCTGTTGGTTAGAAACATGTGTTTGGGAGACTGCCAAAGGTCAACTGAGAAAAAGGTGATTCAATTACCTCCCCTCTCTCAGACATTACTATCTAAAAAGCTAGGGGTGGGAGGACATGGTAATGACAGAATCTTTAGGACTACAGTAACATAAGAAATAAGTGTTCCCTGGGACACTATTTTCAGATAGAATTAATTAATGGCAATGACTCATAGAAAGATTTTTTAAAAAGTACTAAGACCACTTATTATATTCTCACTATATATCAATGTTCTAGGAAGTATATACACTTTCTCCTATTTAAAGCTTGAAACAAACCTATATTATTGTCCTGTTTCATATATGAGAAAATCTTAGAACTAAGATAAAACCCCAGTCTAACAGAAAGCCCATGTTCTTTCCAATGTACCAAGCTAGGTATCTAGAAATTGACACTTTTGCTCATTACCAACAGACGTCTTTTTTAAACCTCAGCCATCTTGTGCCTTTGTCTATCCTACTGAGATCTCACTCTGTTTTCTGTTGCTACCTGAAAATGGGTACAGTCATGCTAGTTATCCGCGAGGGGTTGGTTCCAGCATCCCACATGGATACCAAAATCCGTGGATGCTTAAGTCCCTTATATAAAATGATGTAGTATTTGCATATAACATATGCACATCCTCCTGTATACTTTAAATCCTCTCCACGCATGTCACCAGCACCAGGCAAGGGCCCTCGTACTGAGCCATCCCAGAACAGAAGGCAGAAGGGCAAGAGGATGCATGGGAAAGAGGAAGCATAAGAGGCCAGGCTTGCTTTTATAAAAACTCACTCTTGCAATAACTGACCCACTCCCACGAAAACTACATTAATCTGAGCCCTCATAAGCCAATCACCTTTTCTTAGGACCCACCTCCCAAAAATATTGCACTGGGGATTAAGTTTCCAACATGTGAATTTCAAGGGACACATTCAAAACATAGGACACTCTAACTAGTGTCATTACACAAGAGCTTTTTTCTATTAATATGAAATTATTTTTATCTCAAACTTTGCAAACAAAGACCTGATAGATAAGATAGGGAGAACAATGACAGCAGAAACACATAGTGATCCCAGGACCAGGAACCAAGAGTTGCCTTCATTCAGCTGGATAGAAAGCCAAATATCCAGAAATGTGGGTGTAAAGACTAACCAAGAGGTAGCCAAGAAAACACCTGAGCCAGCTAGATGTCCTAAAGTAACCTTCCCTATGTGGAAAGGAACAAAGGAAGGAGTGCCCCTAGAGCAAAAGAATCACTTGTAATTGTCAGACAAATGAGCAAACACCTGAATCTTCACACAGTTAATTCTTTTTTTTTTTTGTCTTTTGTCTTTTTCCGTGTCCGGCAACGGATCGCAACCCTCAGCGTTGCCCCCGTACCGGACCAGGGACCGGCAACGGGATTGCAACCCTCGGTGTCGCTCCCGTGCCTCGCTCAGCCAGTGAGCGGGAACCGGTCTGTATGTGGGATCCAAACCCTCGGGCGGGAGTGCCGCTGCGCTTCCCAAGCGGCGCACTTATCCAGTGCGCCACCGGGCCGGCCCCCACACAGTTAATTCTGTTGTAACTAAACAGAAAGCCTTCAGAGGGGCCTAGATGGAGGAAGAATTCTGAAGGACTGGAAATATGAAGATCATTTGATAAGCCTTCATCCTCAGGAATAAAGGAGCCATTGTACCACCTGGAAAAGCAGAAAATATATGATATGGGTATAAACACCATG